TTCTTCTGTACTGATTTAGAGATTTATACTTCATCTTATGGTGATAATCTTTGTGCCCAAAAAGTAAATGTGACTGCTCTTTCTAACATGGAAATCTAAATGCCCAGAATTATGGTTCTCTCTATTAAGGAATTCTAATATTTGACATAGTTTCATGGCCGCATAAATGAGACTTTTTTTTCCTTTTTTCATTTTATTAATTATTTTTAATACCTCAAAAGGCTTCCAGTTTAAGCTTCAGAATACTGTGGTCTTAAACACATATTTTGAGTCCATGAGTACGCTCAGATACCTCTATATTAGACTATCCCAAGACCTCAATGGCTGTATTTCTAACAGCCAAAGAAGTGTATGAGCTAATCAATCAATTCGGTTGGGTAATTCAGCCTTCAAACAGACTACAATTGCCACTCCTCCTTCTGCAGATGTTAGCTGGGTACAGCTCTAAGAGTGTGAGAGCAGAATTCTTACCCTAGATTTCAATTTTGATAATTGCCTAAATGAAATATGTTCTCTGTTTAYAGATATCCTTTCCAGTCTTAATTCACCTGCCCTATTTGGGGACCAGGACACAGTAATGAAAGCCATTCAGGAGGCTCGAAAAATGAGAGAGCAAATCCAAAGGGAACAGCAGCAGCAGCAGCAGCCTCATGGTGTTGATGGAAAATTGCCCTCCATGAATAACATGGGTMTAAACAACTGCAGGAATGAAAAGGTAATGCCTCCCATTTTCCCACAGTCTGTCACTCACTCTTCTCTTCCCTGCAAATAGCTTCTTATTTTTATATGAAATTTCTTTTTAGAGCTTTTAGCCATCTCTGATTTCATGTTAAATATACCTTGTCACTTCACAGTGCTGGGCTAAAAACTTCTCTGGGTTTGCATGACAATCCTGTGCACTCATATGAGGAAGCTCTGCAGAAACATGGAAAAGGATTTGATTGAATCTTCCACTGTTCGTGGTCAYTAGATTTTGAATTATACTTTTGAGAATGGCTGGATTGATAAATATGGCCAAAAGGCCAGTTCTGTACTAGCATGGTTGAGTGTTACAGTGCCACCGTATGAATGTGTTAAAATGTTGCCACATGGCATAAACAACACAAAGTCAGATTCAGGATCTAATAAATATTTATTTCTGCTAATATTATTTTAAATGCCATAACTTGAAAATCTCATTTAATACAAGTTATATTATGAAAAAAAATACAGAAATGAATAACTGATCAAGCAGGCCATATTAAAACACCTTAATTGTAAAGTCAGTGTTTGTCTTAACTAATCAAGAGGCAGGGTACTAAAGCCCAGGYTATAAAAATAAAATAAATGTCACATATATGATCAATATGAAGAGTTTATAAAATTATGCTTATTTAAAAATTTATTTTATGAGTTTCAGTGGCATGACATTTAAGAATATCTAATACGCTATAAGGGCTATTAAAAGAATTCTTAACATTTGATTTCACTTTGAAAAATAAGTGTAAAAATGGCATCCACTTACTTATTGARTCTCTTCCCCACATATTTTTGGTATCATGTTTATATCTTCTACTCGATATAACAAGTTTCAATTTCATCTTTCACCCTTTAAGGCAGAGTCAGTAAATATTTCAGTGAATAATCTSAAATTTCTGTTTTGTGCCGGTTACTAGCAGTACGCAGATTGATGCACAGCTTCCAGATTGTGGTTATACATCAGGCAGTCTGAGGAAAAAATTCTTTTATTTTGCTTGCAAATATAGCAGAGTGAATTGGAAACTCTAACAGATTCAAACAACATCATCCTCAAATGCCATCTTTTATGAGGAGACTTTTCATGGTAGCGCTTGCAGCTTTTAAAACCTAAGAATAAAACAGCAGCAGGGAAATCAGTTGCCGAGTCTCTCAGTGACCTTATGTAATCCTGCTGGGTTTATTTATGGCAGCAGGTACTACAGAACCRTTAAGGCAGGAAGAGGTTGTAGTTTGAGCTCTGGTTTTACCTTTGGTGTGCTGGTCTGTTATCGTCGCCCCAGAGATGTGAGAAAAGGCAGGATAGATATCTCCTGCAAAAGAACAGGMTATAAATCAGTCATTTTCAGTGATGATATATCCCCACTCTTATCCTAAAGAAAATAAAAGTATTAATTCAGTCATGAATACTAAGAAAATGTATTTATATTTTATAGCAAGTATAAAATACATTAAAACCAGGAGCATCCTTCGCACAAACAGAATTCTAGAGCACTCTTCTTTTCCCCTTCACCCTCTGCCTTTTAATTTTTACATTATGATACACTTCTTTTACTCTAAAAATGATGGGCAGGATGATCGAAATGGTGAGGGAAGAGGAATACTGGATCACTTCAATTAGAGAAACATAATTTTGAAATAATTKTATGCCAAGAAAACTGCGTATAGGTTCTGTCATAAGCCCAGTGAAGCTTTGATAACAGTTGCAATTTTGGATTGGATTCTTTTGAAGAATCTGGACCCTGCGTTTTCAGGACCAAATTTTTCAGAAATTGGCTTCAGGTAATTAGACTTGTAAAAATGAGTAGCTGGAAGCTGGCACCAGAAAAAGATGACAAATTAATTGCCTGCAGCTGGTTTAAAAAGCTATTGAGTTCTGGTCAGTCACTGGTCTTCAAGTTCAGATAGTTGGTAATAGTTTGTTGTGCAAATGATCGTGCTTACAAAATTATATACATAACTTCAAAGCCTGGGCTGAGGCCTTTTTGAAAATGTGTCATTTAAATATCTCAGAGAGCTTTGTATTTGGTTACAGACACAGAATTGAAAAATGTCTGTGCTTGTATTCTGCTGTTCAAAAAAAAAAATCCACAAAGCTTTAAAAGTGCTCACAGAGATTCACTCATCAGAAAGGCCAAAACAAAAACATTCAGCACTTTGGGACAGCCCAACTTTGTCATTTGCCAAAGCAGTGAGGCTAGTYTGTACTTGTGAGATGAAGCCAATCYGTGCTGTTTCAGTTTGTGAGCTGCTGTGGGTCAGGAGAGGCAGGCAAGCACCAGGCAGCCACTCGCTCACTCCCCATCAGTGGGATGGGAGGAGAGTCAGAAGGGTAAAATGAGAAAAAAAATGGGTTGATTAGTGTAGTTTAATAGGTATAGGAAAAGCTGTGTATGCAAGCAAAGTAAAATAAGAAATTAATTGTTACTCCCCATTTCCAGGCTGATGTTTATCCATTCCCAGGAGAGCAGGGCTTCAGCACAAATAAGTTACATATGAAGACAAATGCCAAAACTCCAAACATTTCCCCTTCCTCATTCTTCCCCCAGATTTTATTTCTGATCATGATGTCACATGGTGAGGAATATCCCTTTGGTCAGCTGGGGTCAGCTGGCCTGGCTCTGCCCCCCTCTCCATGCTTGGCACACCCAAAGCTTCCTCTGTGGCRGAGCAGCATCAAAAAACAGAAATGGTTTTGCTTTGGAAGCCCAGTTCAGCAAGAGGTGAAAAATCCCTGTGTTACCCAGCATTGTTTTGGTCACAAATCTAACATTCAGCACCACCTGAACTAAATTTGAGTCTAAACCAGTACAATACACATGAGGCAAAAAAATCTCKATGACAGAGTTGACTTTTTCTGTTCCACCTCAGGTGTGGTTTGACTGTGGAAAGGGAAGAGCAATGGTGTCAGTCATTTCACAGAGTAAACAGAAACACTGCAGAGGGGAGAGAGTTAGGAAAATGAAGAAAATAATATATGGAGCTTTTACCATGTGAGAGAAGCAAAAGCAAAATCATACCAAAAAATCATCTTTGTTTAGAGGATATGACTTTTTCCAGTCAAAGCAACTTCAACAAAAAAGCATACTTAAACAAAATCTGCATTGCTTCAGCTACTTGTATTTATTTTAGTATTTCAAACTACCATCATTGCTCAGAAGATTTGCTTTGATTTAAGGCTTTAAATRAACCTGAAAGTGCTATATAATTTATAAAATAACTGACATTATTTTTAAAAGAATCAGATGCTATATTTTTGGTATATAAAGCATGAAAATGCTGAAAAAGATGCTTCAGAAAATATTTGTTTAAAAAATATAGGTAAGAACAGTGATTGGAGAAASATATATGAAGTCAAGGTAGAATACATATGAAATCAAAAATCACAACATATTTTTAGCCTTGCCTCTCTATTTATGTACCGTGAAGCAAATTCATGACGATCTGAGTGTAAGCAGAATTTAATATAACATTTTCATGTTTATATTCCACTCTCTTCTTTGTAGATTTCAGACAACTGTGTATTTGCAGTAGGAAAGCAGAAATAGACCCCCAAATATTTCCTACTTCCTGGGCAGTATGGTACTTTAGCACCTCTTCTAATGAGCCTTTTATTCCTTTCTTATTCCTAAATCAAAGTTTCAGAAGTTGAATCCACGTTATTTTTCCCTGATATAGACCACAGTTTGCATGTAAAATGTGTACATTCTTAAAAAAAAGGTGTATTATTCATCTCTGGAGATATTGGTCTATTGATCAACAATTTAGGGATTGTTAAGTGCCTGGATTATTGAGACAATAGAGTGTAACAACTCCTCCGGAGCTGCTACACTTCACTGAGTCCATGAAGCTCCTGCACACACGTACAAACTCGGCCTGATACAAACACCTCAGGAAGCCTTTGTAGGAAAACTCACAAGTCATGGATAATCTCCTTTTGACTGCCCTGCAATGGCTCCAGCATTGGGTTGCTTTTTTCACTGAAGGCAAGCAATGCTGTTATGCTGCCATCAGGTTTTTACCAGTTTTTCTCTCCCCATACCTTCAGTACCAGATTCAGAACAATTGCAGTGGCAGGAGTCACGCTATCTGTCCTGCATGTGCAGGGATTTCTCAGATAATCATGAAGAGAATCACCTTGCTAAAGTAATTTCTCAGTTCAGTTAAAAAAAAAAACAAAAAACAAACACATAGTTAAGAAAACTCTTTTCCAGTTCAKTCTACATGCAATTCTCTGCTTTCTTTTACTGAACAGAGTCCTGACCACTCTCAAATCTAGAACTTGARTTTATTGGTCATAAGGGCCTTGTGGATTTCCTATAAATCTTTATGAATACATGGCTTAGAGTTGCAGGTAGTGATCTCTTCTTGTTTCCTTTTCTCTTTTAAGCAAAACTTCTTATATTTTCTTTTTTTCCCCTTTAGTTTCTTTTAGCTGACTATTTGCACCTAGTAAATAGGAGGTCAATGCTTATCTTTCGATCTGTTGTGAGGCATGATAGAAACTTTAAGCATTTTCAATTGGATYCTTATTTCTGTTGGTTAAAACTTAGTTCTACTTGTAATAAAAGGGTGGTGAGTACCTAATAGTTGGGGGAAAAAAAATAGCAGTACCAACAGCAAATTACTAGTTTTGCAAAGTTATTACCTTTTCTATGGTATTGTCTCCATAGTCATTGTAGCAAGTTTTATTCTCACTGTAACTTAARAAAGGTCCTGTCCTTCCCAGCTTACACTTAGGCATAATGTAATTTAAGTATTTACATTCTATAACAGAAAATCTGGAGCTGGATAGAAAGGAAAAAAAGAAAGGCATTGATTTACTTGAGGAACTGTTAGTGTCGTCTCACTTTCCTGCAAGAATATAGGCAATTTATTCAACTCAGTGGGAGTGTATTCCATCTGTCTAATGAAGACTCTGATTTCTGCAAAGAGACACTGCAACCGGGAAAGTGGTTTTTTTTTTKTTTTTTTTTYCCC